AACAAACATTAAAATAAAACTTAAAAAAAAAGGAAAGGTGGGGCGCCTGGGTGGCTCAGTCAGTTAAGTGTCTGACTTCGGCTCAGGTCATGATCTCACGGTCCGTGGGTTCGAGCCCCGCGTTGGGCTCTGGGCTGATGGCTCACAGCCTGGAGCCTGCTTCCGATTCTGTGTCTCCCTCTCTCTGCCCCTCCCCCGTTCATGCTCTGTCTCTCTCTGTCTCAAAAATAAATAAACATTAAAAAAAAAAAAAAAAAAAGAAAGAAATCATACAGACACAAATTTCCGTTCCATAAGAGAAAGGAGTTTTTAACATTAAGGAGTAACCGACGACAGGCATCATGGTCTGTTGTCTAAGGTGGAGGGACTGTGTTGACAGCAGCAAATGTGGCTGTGGCCATCCCACTGGGATGAGCAGAAAAAGGAAGATGAAAACAAGGAGTATATAGATCTCTGGAGAGTGGGCAAGTTAAAGCAAACCACGGGACTGGGTCACAAAGAGAGAGGCAATGAGGAGATATCAACTGGAGGTCATGAAGAAAAGTCAAGCAGAGATCTCACAAAAGTGAAAGTGGATGTTAAATATCGGGCACCTGAACTTAGAAGCCATCAGGACAAGTCCCTGAGGACTTCTAGGAAGTGTGCCAGAGCTGTCTGCATGGGGTTTCCCACAAGTGCAACAGGTTATGCCTGATGGTGTGTAAAAAATACCACATGGCATCCAACAACAGATCTGGAGATGTCACCCTTATCTTTAAAATATTAACAAACACCTGCAGTAAACTGACAATGATTTCAGAATAAAGGGCAGATTCCACAGCTGGCAATGCAGGCCTACCACACTACTTCGTGCTCTCCTTCAATACTCTTACATTTGTTAGTTTATTGCTAAAAGATCTATTCACCCCACCTGAAAATTAAGGTCCTACATCAGCCTTCAAAGTTCAGTTCAGTTCACACTGTCTCCAAGAAGTCTTCTCATAGATCTCCAGTTAGTTAATTTATTTCTCCCACCCTCTACCACAACATAGCACTTAGCTTGTGCTTCTGATCAGAGCATGATGACTAAGAAATAATTTACTATGGAACACTGTAGCTTAAAAGCTGTGTTTGTGATTCAGAGGTACTATTGTGATTTGATTCAGAGGTGCTATCCGTGAACCATCTCCTTATCCGTCAACATCATCTCACCTGCAATAGTCACCCATAAATATCTTGTTAAACTAGAAAAAAAAAAAATTAGGGGATCCAAACAAAAGAGAGAGACTGGAAGTATGATCTCTAATTCCCTTGTAAACCTGAAATTCTATGAGACATTCTCCACCTGTGAAACTACTCTAAGCAATGCTATAGGCCTGCCCATTAGCTGGCTGAAATAGGAAGAAATTAACAACTGCAGCATCAGATTAGAACAACACTACACGGTCCTAAGGTCGAGAGTCAGGAACTGGACCCATGACGCCAAGTTCTAAGGCTACAATCCCTAGTATGTATGCTTTACTTACAGAAGCTACTCAATTTGTGTTGAATGAATGAAGAATAAATGAATGAGTGAAATGGTCACTCCAAATCTCACACGTCCTGAGGTCAAACTGATCTTGACAGAAAAGAAAAGATAAAGCCCTCATTTGTTTTTCAAGATTCATTTTTTTCTCTTAAAAAAAAAAAAGAATTCTCAGAACAAGAAGTTTTGAATTGAAGTATTTGCCTTTTGCAAAAAAATACGTAAAAAGTGTGTAGCAGGTAAAAAAACTACAGGACACCAAGCAAAACTCCAGCAACGCCTAGTCCTTCAAAATAAAACCATATAATCCCGTCATCTGAACCTCAGAGACTTACAGGCTGATGGAAGACTAAAGCAAAGCCATGTGCAAGGCCATCTGGTACAACAGGAAGGACAAATCCAGAAGTCAAGGTTTCTCAAAATGAGGTATGGATGATGAGATCCATACCTTCATGAGACTCAGTTTCTCCATCTGCAGACACAGGGAACTAATCCATTTAGCGAGTCCCTGAAGAGGCTGTAACTAATGGCTGGCGCCAGGGTTGGACTAAATGATCTCTAAGGTCCTTTTCCGCTCTGACAATCTTAAAATTCTATAGTCGTACTTAGTAGACATTATTTTGACTCTGACCTGAAAATCTGGCTAGAAGCATAAACAGACTTCTACATAAAAACACATTCACCAGCTATAATTTGGACTTGGCAACCTGAAGTTTCACCAGGGCCGAGAGGAAAAAGTGCAAAATTTTCTCCAGCGATTACCTTACTTTGGGCTCTATTATACAGTTCATATTCCAAGGTGGTGCAACTATGGCCAGAGCAGGGCCAAGTCGCTATCATTCTCACACAAGGGACGGGCATACCCCTGTGCTTTTGAACTTGCCAACAATCTTCCATATCTTCAAGAATAACACGCCTCTCCTACCAGATGTGTCCTTTCCCATTTGGCAAATTCAATTTTATTTTTTATCCTTCCTTCTGTTTTGCAAAGAACATAAGCCAACATGGCAACCGGTATTTTGTTTATTTCCTTCCTTATAAAAAACAAAGTCATGGTTTTGGTACATTTATCAGGAAAGGTCCATAGAGGAGAAGAGTTTTTGTAATTTTTATGAAAGCCCATGTTTGAATTCTTCTTCATTAAACCTTTTGGCAAAGCCTTATCATTACCACTGTTGTTATTTTTATATAGTGATAGTTATATCAAAATATCTGGACAGCCATTATAGCTTGCCAATTTCAAATCCATCTGTATTTCATTTGGTTACTAGAGGTAGTAGACAGTTACCTTCCTTTTAATTATGAGAAAAATCGGACTCAGCATGACCTGTTGAGAATCACGTAACTAGAATAAGCTGTTCAATGAACAAACACAAGTCTTCTGTCACAAGGTCAAACAAGCTTTTAAGAACTGAAGATTTAAAATGCAACAAAATAGCTTCTATAACGTTCCAAGAGAACAAATAGACTAAGTGAAATTTTTAATTACACAATTCAACAATATGCAAAGAATAGCCCTGGACCAAATAAGAGCAAAGGTATATACAAGACAAATTTAAGAGGTTTTTTTTTTTTCGTTGTTAATAAAAGATGACTAAAAATAAGGAAAATTGATCATATTATTTCTATTTGCCAAGGGACCTATCTGTTGCATAAAATAAATATAAACTTTGTAGGATTCCCATCCATTAGTGGCATTTGAGCTCTGATTTTATTAGCTTACAACATTTTATCAGCAAGATTTTATAGGAAAATCAAGATTTTTGTAGGAAACCCACGATATATATATCTAATACATAAAATTTTTAATGGATTTTGAAAAATCTAGGTTCCAAACGGACTTGGAGGCCACTGGTTATAACTGGAACTCACTAATTTTAACTTCTCAATAGTACAAAAATCTTCTTCTATTACTTAAGTTCTAACATATGAAAATATACTCCCAAGAAACTCACATGGTTTACTCCCTTCTCCCCACTCCAAATCGTTGCTCAGGTGTCCCCTTCTCAGCAAGGCCGCCAGATCACCCTTTCCTCCAACCCACAGCCCTGATTTCATTCTAATGTTCTTCGTAATCAACGTACCTATTTTGTTTACATCCACCAGTTTTACTAACATGGCAGTTTCATGCGGGTAGAATCCTGTCTGTCTTTTTCACTACAGAATTCTCATGCTATAAAAGGTACGCACACAGGCACACGGAATATTGGCTGAATGAATGAATCACTTCTTCCTTTGTCTCTCCCAACCTGAAATTTAGGCGAAAGAAAGCCAGACAATGGACTGAACCATTTAAGCAGTGATTTCCCATGGCTTTTCTTCTTTAAAACTTACTATGAGGGGAGCCTGGGTGGCTCAATCAGTTGAGCATCTGACTTTGGCTCAGGTCATGATCTCAGAGTTTGTGGGTTTGACATGCGTCAGGCTCTGTGCTGACAGCTCAGAGCCTGGAGCCTGCTTCAGATTCAGTGTCTCCCTCTCTCTCTGGCCCTTCCCCCACTCACTCTCTCTCTCTCTCTCCAAAAATAAACAAACATTAAAAATTTTTTAAAAAAGCTTACTGTGGGAAATTGTAAACATATGTAAAGGTAGACCAAATACAGATAGAATCAACCTCCCTCCACACACTCAACAATTACCAACTCATCACTAATCTTTCTTTCACCTATTTTCTCGCTCATTAGCTCCCTATTCTTATTATTTTGAAGCAACTACCAGACACCATTAATTTCCTCCCCAAATATTTTGGATATATATTTTTCCTTCTATGTATCTATAATAGCATCATCACCCCTAAAAGACAACCATGATTCTATAACATTGCTATTTAGTTTTCTCTCCTGATATGAACAGCAGTTAGCTGCCTACATTGTGGCATCTGGTCACCCGTGCCTCTACAAGGTTACAGGCTGAGAAGTCCTTCCACTGTTGCTTCTGATTCCAGCCGTGGGCTGCGTGCAATCATCACTCCCTGGAGCACAGCACTTGTATAAGATCGATACATCCTATAATGTGCATCCCTAACCCCACTTGACCCCGCTCAGAAAAGAATATCCCAAGAAGGTTTCCTGGAGCTTTTGCTAGAAAGATGTTGCTGGCCAATTAGGACCCACAGTGACCAACCAGAGCCTTAAAATATCACTCTTACCCACGCAGAATGCAATGTTTGTGGATAGAGAAAGGAGGCAATAAAAAAGCACAGTTGGTCCCTGGGATAACAAGGAAACGTGGAATTCTCAAATGGCATTCCTAAAAAATGGCTTTCAGTTTCAGAACAAAATTAGTAGGTGAAAGGATTTCTAGGGCTTCAGAATGCAAGCCAGCAGAACTCTGCAAAGCTTCAGTGGGGCGTGTTGCATTAAAGTACCTTAGCTCTTTGTGAGTTGTAAAGCTCTCTTTAGGCTCTGGATAAATGTTTATCCACCACAGAAACAATCAGTGAATTCATGAGCTTCCTAGCATGGCTTATTAACATGACTTCCACCACAGATCTTACCTGTGCCCTGAAAGCACCTTCATCAAGGGGTGGTGGAGGAGGGAAGTTTCCAGAGCCAGACGGAAGAGCACCAGGATCATCTAGAGGTGGAGGTGGGGGTGGAAGAAAATCACCTACAGAAAGGAAATGCACACATGAAATTAACATAGACGCAATTTTGTAGGACTCTTAAAAAACGTATATTTGCTGGCATTTTACTGCTTTTTAATTGGCCTTGACGCATCATTGTTTTGTCTCAATGGCAATTATTCCCTATTACAGTTCCCTTCAGTTAAATTGGTAGCCTTAATTTTGAGAAGAATGAGTACAGGAGTTGATACTTAGAAGTGAAATAAAAGCTAGCCTACAGGAGGAGGAGTTGGATATGTTTAGCTTGAACAGGGAAGGTGTTCGGGGTGGTGAATTGCTGAGGTGGGTAAGACTTGTTACTTACCCTCAGTAAAGTTTTCATCAAGCAGAGGCGGAAAAAATGTACCCACAGATAAAGGAAAAAGAAGATACAATTTTTTAAGATGGAGAAACGAACTCTTCTGGAAGCTAAGAAAAAGGAAAACTTATGCCCAGGTAGAGCAACAAGGAAGGCTTTTACCAGAACATTTAAACAGCCCCTGAACAGCAGTTCACAGTGACCAACGAGTCCACTCTTGGCAGAAAGACAGGGGAACAAAGGCATAGCTTAAAACATCTAGGGCCTAGAGAATAAGGAGCGAGTCATAATACAGCATAAATATAGGGATGTAAAAGAATACTAGTGAACAATAAAACTAAGTGCAGTGACAAAAATAATTTTTTCTTTAAGTGTGCTGCACATCTAGTAAGTAGTTCAAATTTTATCATGCTTGCGGTGGGGAGCCATCAAGCATTTCTGACAAGAAAACATTTGGTTGCAGTATGATTTACTAAAGACTAATCTAAAAGCACATGCAGGGCAGATTAGGAGAAAGGGGAATAAGAAACCTCCGATATCAAAATCTATATACAATCCAGGCAGGAAGTGATGAGGGGTGAGCATATCAAGAAAGTTCAACATCATTGCCCAATGAGAAGAGCATACCAATGTCATGTTTTTGGAAGAGAGCACCTAATCTCTAAGGTCTGAGGTGCAGACATAAATCTAAAAGCTCTGTGGCTTCATGGTATGGAAATTTTTAAAAATACTTTGCAAGAAATTCTATTAGGAATAGGAAACTTCCATTTAAAAAAATCTGTTTGGCTTTATTTCTTTTAAAAATAATATTTTAGATAACAATAATAAGTAATATTCATGAATAAGTAGCTTTTCCTTGCATTTCAGTTGCTCAACACTTAGCAGCAGGGCAGGAGTTTCTGTCACTCAATGAGTTGCTTTTGGGTAGAACCAAAATACCATGATTTAAGCCTTCAAAAAAAAAAAAATCTAAACTGCACAGAAGAAGGATGGTGGCTTGGATTTGATTGTTCTGATACACCTTGATTCATTGTTCTGATGGTTCCTCTGGCCCTTATTTGCCTTAGAAATAACAGACTTCAAGTTGGAAGAGTACCTGTCTAATCTAGCTTCCAGACATATTCAGACTACAAAAGCAGCGAAGTACACTATATATTTAGAGTACTCTGCTTTTTAGACTCCCACCATGCACCAAACCACTGTGCTAAGATTTTCATAGGCTACCTACTAGTCCTACAACCCTTCGTCCTGATGGTTCTCGAAATTTATAGAGGTCATCAGGATCTCGGAAAGGTCTGGTAAAACATGGATGGCTGTGTTCCACCCTCAGAGTTCTTGATTTAGTTGGTCTAGGGTGGGGCCCGAGAATTTGCATTTATTTTTTTTTAATTTTTGTTTATTTGTGTGTGTGTGTGTGAGAGAGAGAGAGACAGAGACAGAGAGACAGAGAGAGAGAGAGAGAGAGAGAGAGAGAAAGAGAGCACGCAACCAGGGAAAGAGTAGAGAGAGAGGGAGAGAGAAAATCCCAAGCAGGCTTTGCACTGTCAGCACAGAGCTGGATGCGGGCCTTGAACTCACGAACCGTGAGATCATGACCTGAGCCAAAGTTGAGTCAGATGCTCAATCAACTGAGCCATGCAGGTGCCCCCTGAGAATTTTCATTTCTAATAAACTCCCAGGTGATGCTGATGCTATTGGTCTGGGACGACACTTTGAGAACCACTGCATTTCAGCCAAGTATTATATTGTTCCTATTTTAGACCCTGTAGGATTAGAAAGGTTAAATGACTGATGTCATATAGAAATATTTCTATTTCTCTTACTTTTCTGGGTGTGCACATCTAGGGACGTGCTTTGTCCATATCCTTATTAGGATTATAAGTCTCATAAACCTACAGTAACTCTACCCAGTAGTTCTAAACACTGGCTACATACTAGAATCACCAAGAAAGTTTTCTAAAAATGCCAATGCCCAAACTCCATCACGCCAACTGCAATCAGTATCTTGGGGATAGGGGAAAGTGAGTTGGGGGGAGGCGTCAGGTGCCAGTATTCCTTTAAAACCCAAATGATTCTAATGTGCAGTCAGAATCAAGAGACTAATTTGACCTTCCTTTGGCCAAACACTGCACTGAAAAATATTTAACACCTGCTAAGTAAAAATGAATCGTCACCGAGTTGTTTTCTGCCTTGGAAAGTCAAAACATACAAGAAAAGGACTCACAATGAGATCTTGAGTGATCAGCGAAGGAGGTCTAGGTTGATGGAGACTAGTCCTACTAAATTCTAGTGCACAACCTCATTTTCTGGTCCAAATGTTCTATCTGGACCTAGGTCGTCTTCATGCATAATTTAAAAGACAATTTCTGAGCACCTTCTTATACTTTACCACATTTTATTATGTCACAGAGAAATGTCAGAGCATTAAACAGGATAAGAAGTAAATAGAATCTGGAGATCATATTATAAAGTTAGAAACAGAGGCCCGTGAAAGCGACATGAATAGTCCACATTCTCAGGAAATTAGTCTTAGAATAAAAAATACAACTGGTTGTCTCTGCAGTCTCTTCCAACCATAGTTGATCTTTGAAAAACATGGGTTTGAACTACATAGGCTGACGTACAAATTTTGTACAGTACAGTCCTGTAAATGTATTTTTTCTTCCTTATAATTTTCTTAACATTTTCTTTTCCCTAGTTTACTTGATTATAAGAATACAGTATATGACACATATAACATACAAAATATGTGTCATCCAACTGTTCATATCAGTGGTGAGGCTTCTGATCAACAGCAGTTATCAGTAGGGGC